AGAGGACGATTCAGACACTTGAGGATATGCTTAGACTATGTGTATTGGACCTCCAAGGAAGTTGGGGAGTGCATTTGCCTTTGGTGGAATTTACCTACAACAAAAGTTATCAAGCTAGCATTGGCATGGCGCTGTACGAAGCACTGTATGAAAGAAAGTGCAGGTCGCCGATATGTTGGACCGAGGTAGTAGACAAAGCTCTGCTTGGTCTCGAGTTAATTCAAGTAACAACCGAGAAGATTAAGCTCGTTCAGCAAAGAATCAAAACCGCACAGAGTCGACAAAAGAGTTATGCCGACCAGAGAAGAAGAGAGTTGGAATTTGAAGTCGGAGACCACGTGTTCCTAAAGATTTCGCCGATGAAAGGAGTTACAAGATTTAGGAAGAAGGGTAAGTTAGCACCCCGTTACATCGGGCCTTTTGAAATCCTTGAGAAGGTTAACCTCGCTGCCTACGGACTTGCTTTGCCGCCAGGATTGAGCCAAGTCCATAATGTATTTCATGTTTCGATGTTGAGGAAGTATATTCGAGATCCGCTACATGTGATTGACTATTTTGGGATTGTAATTAATGAAGATTTGGGCTACGAAGAGAAGCCGATACGGATTGTCGATAGGTAGGTGAAACAGTTGAGAAGTAAGTCGATACCAATGGTGAAAGTTGAATGGAAGGAGCACTACGGTGAGGATGCTACATGGGAAATGGAAGAGGAAATGAAAGTCCGACATCCAGAATTGTTTTTGGAACAAGGTAACTCAAGTTTGGGGACCAAACTTCTTTAAGGGGGGTAGGATGTAACAAACCTTATTTCAACTTAGTCATACTTGCGTACATTTATGAATGATCTTGTTTTGGTATGTGCATTGCAAATCTTGTCTTGTTTTGCTCGAATGTTGCTCACGTGCTTTGTTCTTGCTGGTGTGTTGCCGAGGTCATCTTAAGCCTAGACACCTTCGAAACCTTTTCCACTTAGAACTGTCGTGGAATCCCTTCGGTTGACCTCCATCTCCACCCTGGCATATTGGCTGAGATGTCACCACCTAGGCCGAGGCGCGCGTCGCCTAGGCCGAGATGTTGATATCTAGGCGTTCTAGATCCTTGATCCTTGCACTAGCGATTTGCTACTCGCAAGTAGGCTAAAAATACGGATTTCAACGAGTTTTTCCAACTCAGACAATCTAACCTTCACCCACAGGCACTCAAACAGTTTATCACATAAGCATCTAGCCACATGGTAAGCATGCTATCATGTTAACATTCATACGCATGCGAGAATGCTAAAGCGTAAATACTTACATCGTACTCCGTGCCAAAACAATAAACTAGTTAGCAAACATGCGTGATCCTAGTTCATGTTAAAGTGCCTAATGCAACACATACAGAATGCGATTAAGATAGGCTTGGCTAATTTAAACACGACATGTGAAATGCAATCAATTGATGCATGTATTCAACTTGGAATTGAAGTACAAATGCAGTTAGCATGATGTACCGAGCCCAGTGAATGCAAGACGAATGTATGGATGCACGCATGCATAGCATAAGGTATGCTAATTTGAACATGCCCTAATCTATCATTATAACCAGGTAAATAAAAGGGAAGAAAGAAGTGGGGGTTGGAAGACATGCACACACTCACCCACACTTATTACAAATTCGCCCTCGCTCGGAGGGACCAAATAAATAATGCAATTTGAATAACGAATTAACTAACCTAGCTAATTAATTATTACAAATTACCTAATTAGTTAACAAACTAACTAAGTTAGGGAAAACAATAAACCGCCTCGGGAAGAGAGCCCAATGCAATGCATGCCCGGTCCTGTTCGGAAGTGCACTGCCATGCGCAAGCTGCCTCTGTTTTCCCTGCTATACTCCTCTAAAGACTGCCAAAGTCTCAGGATTGCTTCCCTGGACATTGGGAGACACCACCGGCTGAATAGAATGGCCACCGGCAGTGGCATGTGATCACCGGCTGTGAATGAATCCATCGGCCATGGAAAGATTGCCGGTCGGCACCTAGCACTGCCGGTCGGCAGAAAGTTCCTGCAGAATCTGCAATTGACAGCAACAGAGGGCAAGGCAGAGCATGGCAATGCAATTCAAGCCATATATGCACCAATCATGTCCCTTATCCTGTTAGTGACTCAAAGGGACATGCTCCTTGGTTCTCGGACCATCAATCGCGCATTTCCATGCGTGATGGCCCAAGGGACCAAGTGTGCACATTTTGATGTCAAATGCAATGCAAACCTTCAAACCAAGAGGCTTCTACCTCCATCATGACTTGGTCAAGAGGTAGAGCATGCATGCCAATGCAATGCAACTCTAATCATATGAGCTAGCATGCAACATGAGCATACAAGCAAGCAATGAACAAGCATGCAAGCTATTGGACATGCAAGACATGGTGCAATCAAAGCATGCAAAGTGTGAGACATGTAACAATATGTAAAGATTGGACTTAAACATGATTTGGGCAGCTCTAATTAGGCCCAAAACAGTGGCCATAAGTGCCCAAAATGAAGGACTAAAACACACACACACATGCATGCGAAGGATGTCCAATACTTCAAGCATTTAAAAGCAATTTTCAAGCACATTTAAGAGGATGCAAACATGGATAAATGACCTGCATTAAGCTCTGAAAATTATGCAAGAATATGGTGCTAAACCAAGCAAACAAGATAGGCTAAGCATGCAATAAATGGCCCAAGTACTTGAAGCAAGTCAAAGGAACTTGAACCATGGCTAAGCTAACCAAGCCTCACAAGGCCTAGAGGGCTTGAAACAGGTCCAAGGCAGACCTAGACCATGCAAAGGGGGCCCCCTAGATGGCATCTAAGTGGCTCAAATTCAAAGGTATGTACAATGGCCAAAACATGGACCATATAACACAAGCTCATAAGGCATCAAAGAGACAACCAAGGCAAGCATACAAGCATGCAAAGGGGACTGAAATGGTGCTATAAATGATGCCAAATCATCAAATCAAAGCAAGTAATGCATGCTATACCCTCAAATACTTAAGGCCAACAAGTCGGAATGCAAAGGGGCTATACTAAGCGTGTCAAAGCCAACCCAAACAACTATGGACAGACCTTAAACATGGCAAAATAAGCATGAAAGATTCACAAGGCTAAGCCTAAAACATGCTAGAATAAGGGTTTACAACCAAAGGCATATTAAGGCAACAAAGTGGCATTACAAGGTAGGTATGCAAAGCATGCATGGTGTACCAAAACCAACAAAAAATAGAGGCATATTATGACATAATAAGCACAAAAAACAGCCAAGGCATGGTCAACAAGAAGCCTAGCTAAGGGCTCCCTCAAGAGGCCAAAAATGGTCCATTTCAAGGACAACAAGGAGAGGGGGTGGCCCTCTCCTTCTTGGGACTTCAAGGCACCATCCTTACCACTAAAATCCCTCAAGATTTCAGTGGTGAGAAGGCCCAAACACCAAAGTCTCGGAGCTTACACAAAATAGCACAAAAATGGACCCTTACAAGGCTTAAGAGGGGTCAAACAACCTCAAACAACAAAACACCCTAAACAAACTATTTAGAGGGCCTAAAAACAGAACTTTTTTGTATTATATGCAAATCCAAAAAATAGTTTCAAGATAGGTAAAAATAGAATGCAAGAATGGGGTAAAATGGGACTAGTTTCTTATCCTTGTTGACTTTCTTCAAAGATGAAGCTCCAGCAGCTTCTTTGAGCTCAAAACAACTCAAGAACCTCAAGAACAACCTCTGGCCCTTCAAGAATCCAAGGAAAGGTGTAACACTATGTGTTTGTGTGCAATAGTAAGACACAAACACACTTAAACGCACACAAAGGCTAAATGAGAGAGAGGTATAGAGATAGAATATATATCAAACCCTAAACCTAAAACCAGAGTTCTCACAATGTTTTTCTCTCTCAAGTGTCTAACCTAGAGCCAAGAGAGGAGGGCTCCTCTTATAGAGGAGCCAATCTTGTAAAGCTTACAAGGTAAGCTAACAAGGAGTGCATCCCTCCATACACGTGTATGGAGGGGAACAAAATGACATACAACTGTCTTAAAATATCTGCAAAAGAAGATGAACAGTAGTCGGCTTCTCAAAATTGCCATTTTGTCAAAATGGAGTGCCGACTGGCAACAAAGAATGCCGACCGGCAATATATATTGCCGATGGCAACAAAACACCAGCCGGTGGCTTCTGGCCATGGTCGGTGATGTGTGGGGATGCCTCACAAGGCATTCCCTGCCCCTCCAAGGCAAAACACAAGTGTTTGGTGCAAAACCAGACACTAAACAGTCGAGTTCGGAGATCCTGAGGTAAGGCGCGTAGCCGAGACCTCCGGGAACTCCAAACGAACACAAACATGGATAATCACCGGGTGTTCAAACGGTGACGTCCAAGTCTTCAGGACGGTCAAAAATGGGGTGTCTACACATTACTACTTTCGTTTGATGTTGTTTGGATTTAGATTGTGTTACCAATACCTGAAAATATTTGAAGTCAAATTATTACTTTCAAATTGTGGATTGATTGCAAATCTTTTGTTATTTGTTAATTTTAATAAATACATTCTTGGAAACACAACTCATTTTGGTGGCGAAAAATGATTGTTGGGTTATTAGTTTGTCATCTGCATATTTGTGTGATTTTTTTTTTTTAATTCCTTGAATGAGATATTTTATCATATGAATTAATTGTGGATTTCAAAATGATTGTTGATTTTTTATTAGTTTGTCATATGAATTAACTTTATAAATTTTGCAATTCCATTTAAACCTCTTTTAGTTTAATTAAATTCAACAAAGCTTAAGCCATTGATAGGTTTGATTCCATTTAAGTATCTATTGATTGCTTCGTTTGGTTTTACTTGGTGAATTAAAATAACTTTTTGTATTTACATAAGTTATGTGTTCCAAAACCTTTACAGGTTAACTTTTGTATTATGTATTACTGGATTAATATGTATTTACTGAAGTTAACTTTTGTATTACAGGTTTTGGCAATACTAAGCTAGAACGACCTCTAACATTATGGATAATGTAAGTTGTCTTTTTAAAAAAAACTGGTACATAGATTTTAAAAAAGCTTTTGTATTACAGGTTCTAATTATAAAAGACAACTTACATTTTAAAACTTTGGTTTAAAATAAACAATTCGACATGCATTTCTTAGACTTTGGTTCAGTTTCCCTTGCATGTCCAGCGGTATAGTTCTTACTAGTTTTTGTAGAGTGTGTTTTTTTTGTTTTTTTTTTAAATTGTTAGTTTTCGTATGTTTGTATTTTAAGTCATAATTGTATGTCGAATTGTTTATTTTAAGCAATAAACAATTGTTTATTTTAAGCTATAATTGTAGAGTGTTTTTGAAAATGCATGTCTAGTTGTTTATTTTAAACCATAATTGTATTTTATTTTTTAAATTGTGCACTTTTTTAAGTGTCTCCTGTATATATGTGAAAAGCTTCACCATGTTTCAATGTAAGTGTGCGGAAGTTTTGAGATAAAGAGATAAAGAGAGGAGGGAGAAAATTGGTAGCAAATTTTTTTTTTTTTTCTAGATACGTGTCCTCTTTAAATAGTGATACTTTATGAAGCTCATAAGTTGACCGAACATTTGTTTGTTTGTATAACAAAACCACACAATTTATTATATAGATTATACTTGGCTATAAAAAATGACAAAGGTGACTAATTGCAAGGGCAAGCGAAAGGAAAATGCATGTTTAGCAGTATGGTTGTTACTGAATTTTGTGGAGTTTTTATTTTTTATTTTTGTATCTTCATATATTGTATTTTATTTAGCCATAATTATATTTTATTTTTGAAACTATGCACATTTCTTAGTGTTTCCTGTATATACTCTTAGGGAAAATATATATAGGGGATACTTTATGAAGAAATATATAGTGAAAAAGGAATATATAATGTCTCTCCTATAAGTGCATGGGCCCTACAAGAAAATGAAGATACTTTATGAAGCTCATAAGCTAGCCGAACATTTGTTCATTATTGTTACAAAATCACACAATTTGTTATTATTATTCTCATAAGTTGGTTGAGCATTTGTTCATTAGTGTAACAAAACCACACAATTTATTATTATTATTATAAAACTATGTGTAGTCATGGGCAAGAGTATAATGCATTTTTTTGGAAGAGAGAGGATATAAAAATAAAAAATGGTATTTTGTTTGGACAGTGGAAAATGGTACTTGATAATATTTGTATTTTAGGCATCTAATGATTTAATATTCACATTTTAGGGACACAATGGTTATGTTATATCAAGAGCTGTATTAGCTCAACGTGCACGACGAAAACATGAAAGAAATGAAAATGCATGCTTTGCATATCAATCGAGACAACGCTTGCGACAAGAACGAGAGAGATTACGAGCATACATTAAAGGCTTTCCTTCATTAACACCGAGTCGTCGCAGTCACGCTTGCCTAGAACAGGGTACAAAGACAATTGAGGATACTTCGTTGGCACAAAAACGAACAATGGTTACACATGCATCCACATGTGTGTTCTCTATGGAAAGTACATCTTTGGCTCGGAGTTGGTAAAACATGTTTAATTCTTTAAATAATACTCTTACTTTTACATGTGTATAAATTTAAATTTATCCACAACAAATATTTGTAGGCCTAATTCTACAGTCACATTTTTTCAAGAGGATCTATGTACATATGATGAATTAGAAGATATGACTATAAGTACTACGATTAATACTCAATCACACATGAATTTATGTCGTCATTCTCTCAGCAAGATGGATGTGTTATGTCCTTACTGTTCAGCCTTACATTGGATGGACGAAAAATTAGCACAATCATCTCGAAAGCATCCCCTATTTGGAACTTGCTGTTCAAAAGGAAAGACTAGGCTACCTCTGCTTATGACACCCCCTCCACTGCTTCAAGCATGATATAATGAGGATGATGATCAATCAAGATCGTTTCAACGTTATACTCGAGTGTACAATACAGCCAATGCTTTTACAAGTCTTAATGCTACATTGGATCTAAGAGTACTAAGGGGAAGCGGCCCTACACCATTTATTATCAATGAGGAATTGCGACATCGAACATGATCATTTCTACCACAGCCAGGTCATGATGCGACTTATGCTTAGTTGTACATTTATGATCCTGATTCAGCTTTAGAAGTTCGAAATCGTAGAAATCCTCACTTACGAAGGGATGATCTCAAAACTATTCAAGATAGTTTGTTGCAAGTTAATGCATTTGTAGACAAATTTCGTCAGGCTCATGCAATTTTGAATCAATTAGCCTTCACTAGACAAAATCTACTTGCTCATCTTCACTGTAGTTCAGCAACAGACCGACGACGGTATAACTTACCAATTGCTGATGAGATTGCAATTGTAATACCAGGTGATGGAACCAAGGTTACTGGAATGAGAGATGTTATTTTACATCTACAGGGAAATAATGAACTGATGCAAATTAATGAATGTCACCCAGCGTATTTGCCATTGCATTATGTTTTGTTATTCCCGTATGGTGAGCTCGGATTGGAACCTGAGTTGAAATTGTGGGACGTTAAACATGATCGGCCTTCAACTGATCGACTTACTCAAATGGATTTTTATAGTTATTGTTTGTTTGAGCGATCTATAGAGTATTCAACAATTTTGAGAGGTGGAAAACTATTCCAAGAGTTTTTGGTAGATGCTTGGGCTATAACTGAGCAAAATCGGTTGACGTACTACAAGTTCAATCAAAGAAAAATTCGGGCTGAACTTTACCAAGATTTAAGCGATATTGATCCAGATGACTTATGACCTAATCAAATTGGTCAAAGATTTATTTTGCCATCTTCATTTACTGGTAGTCCTAGACATATGTTTGAAATCTTTCAAGATTCAATGGCTATTACGCGATACAACAAACACCCAGATATTTTTCTCACCATGACTTCAAATCCCAATTGGACAGAAATTACTTCAATATTATTACCACACCAAAAAGCTATTGATCATCCTAATTTGATTGCCCTTGTTTTTGAGCTAAAAAGAAAGTGCTTAATAAAGGAGATAGAGACAAACAAAGTGTTCGGTAATAAAGTTGTACATGTTTTTACAATTGAATTCCAAAAACGAGGCCTACCATATATGCATGCGCTTCTCTTTCTTAAAGGTCCAGTGAGATATGTTAAGTATATACATAAGTACATTTACAAGGGTTATGATCGCACAACAATGGTTTGGGGAATGATTAATGTGATCTAATAATATCTTGATGCGAGGTATATTGGACCACCAAAAGCTGCTTGGCGAATATTCGGTCATCATTTGCATACAGAGATGCCAACAGTTGTTTGCTTGGCACTTCATCTACCTGGAATGCATCGTGTTCTTTTCAAACCTAATGACTCATTGGAAATGATTCTTTCTAGAGCTGTGCAAAAAAAATCGACTCTTATTGATTTTTTTTATTGTTGTGCTTCCAATGAAAATGAATGCCAATTCACTTACCAAGAATTTCCGCAACATTTTGTTTGGCTCAAGTCAGAACATAGATGGAAACCAGGAGAACATGGATATGCAATTGGTATAATGTACTTGGCTAGTCCTAACTATGGTGAAAGATTTTATCTGCGTTTGTTGTTAACTGTTGTCAAAGGACCAAGATCGTTTTAATGTTTACGTACAGTTAACAATGTTTTGCATGAGACGTTTAAATCAGAATGTGTTGCAAAAGGACTCTTAGAAGATGATGAAGAATGGATACAGTGCCTGAAAGAGGCTGCAGTTATGAAAATTGGATATCAATTGAGGAGATTGTTTTGCATTATTTTGACCCAATGTTTTCCACTACAACCACATGCGTTATGGAATCAATTTCAATGCATATCTGTGATGATCTTGCATATAAGCTTCGTACATTGTTTGTCATTTCTAACCCAATTGAGGCTCAAATTGAAGATTATGGTTTGTATCTTTTGAATCAGATGCTTCAAGAATAAGGAAAAAGTTTAATTGACTTCCCGCCCATGCCACAACCAACAGCAAATTGGAGTGCAATAGTTGGTAACCGATTGATATACGAACATTGACAACTATAGAATGAGGCACAATAGACAGATATGCAAATTACTATTGATTGCCTCAATAATGGACAATGAACTGCTTATAACGCAATCACTTCTTCAATCTTTGAAAGTAAAGGGACTATTTTCTTTTTGAATGGGGGGTGCTGGAATGGGGAAAACATTTTTGTACAATATGATTGCATTAAAATGCCGCAGCTTTGGCCATGTTGTTGTTACCATGGCTTCATCTGGAATTGCATCATTGCTATTAGTAGGAGGTCGCACTGCACATTCAACATTTTCCATTCCATTGGATGTCTTGGAAAATTCAGTTTGTGGGTTTAGCAAGCAATCATTATAGGCTGAATTGTTTAGAGAAACAAAACTCATAATTTGGGATGAAGTTCCAATGCAACATAGACATTGTGTTGAGGCGGTTGATTGCACACTTTGAGATATTTGTGATTGTGAAAAACCATTTGGAGGTATCACTATTGTTCTTGGTGGAGACTTTCGACAAATCTTACCTGTTATAATCAAAGGAGTTCGTGAGCAAAATGTGAATGCATCATTGAGACACTCTGTTTTGTGGAAGGATCTACATGTTTTATCTTTAGATTTGAATATGCACTTGAATCATGCAAACCTTGGAAATGCTATTTTTGCAAAATTCTTGATAGAGGTAATACTTATTCGAACTTTTTCCTTATCAAATGGTGCTTCAAATTGAGGATACTTTGATTGTATCATTTTTTTTGTAATTTCTTTTATTTTTTTTATTAGATTTGAACCAATCCGCAAGAATTCATTAAAATTCCATTAACAATAGACAAATACCAGGATCTAAAGGAATTACTCTCAGCAGTTTATCCACAATTGGATATGGCAGATACATCAACCCCATCATTCTTAACCGAACGTACAATTCTTTCTGCACGAAATGATGATGTCAGTGCTATCAATATTGCTGCGTTGAATATTTTTCTAGGGAATACATATACGTATCTTGCTACAGATAAGATGGCTGAAGATGATGAAATTGATCCTTCCATTACAAACAGATATCCTAATGAGTATTTCAATTCATTGGATCCTCCTGGGCTATCAGCTTTTAAGGTAGAGTTGAAAGTGGGTTGTTCTATAATGTTATTAAGAAACATTGCACCGAAAGATAGATTGTGTAATGGCACAAGATTGATGGTATCAAGGTGCGACACTCGCAATTGAAGCTCGAATCTTAACTGGAGAGAAGTTTGGCAATTTGGCATTTATACCAAGGATATCATTGACTCCGTCTTCTGCAAAAATGCCTTTCCGAATGACAAGACGTCAATTTCCAGTTCGATTGGCATACGCTTTGACCATTAACAAATCTCAAGGACAATCTGTGAAATTTGTTGGGGTTGATTTGCGTACACCTGTTTTTAGTCATGGGCAACTATACGTGGCATTATCCAGATGCACATCTTTCGATCGTATAAGTATCAT